CCCCTCGATTAACCTTTGCCCTTTGTTCGTTCCTCTTGTTTCGTCACCTTGTTTTCGCCTTCTTCTCCTCGCGGTTCTTCTCTTCTCTTTCTCATTCTTCGTACGTCTATTTACGCTTTTTGGTTTACTTGGCCTCCCCTTTGTTCGTCTGTTACTATTATCACTAATACTGCTACTGCCACCATTCTCTTGCTCCCTACGACCACTAAACCAAATAAAAAAGTAACGACCTTCTCTTTTTCGTTTCACGTGCATCTGTATATGTTTATATCCTTATCATCCTTTTTTTACTCGATTATTTTCCATTTCTCTGTGTTCTCGCGCGCGTGTATACACACACACACACACACACACACACACACGCACGCACACACAAAATACACACGACACGCGTATCTACTCGTACGTGTAACACGGCTGTGTTTGCTGTATACATGCATTATCGTCTGTGTGTGTGTGTGTGTGTCTCTTTCTCTCTCTCTCTCTGTCTCTCTATACTTGTGTGTATGTCGCTCTCTGTCCCACTATCTATGGAAATCACTGTGCTAACTGTGGCTCTGCCCGTCAACTGTTTTTGTATCTATCGTGTATCTTGTATACTGTTAAAACTTGACGTTTTACTAACCTCTCTCTGCTATCTAACCGTCCAACTTTTGTCTAACTTTGGGCTCGCGCGTGCTCTACACGTGCCCCACACCACCCCCATGGTGAAAGCGGTGTTTGGCTCCGGTGGTGTATACACAGTGGAGGACACACGCGTGAACCACATCGTGTTCAGGCTGGCTGTTTCCTCACCACGGGGGAGGGTGACGGTGCGATAGCGCGACACCTGCGCGGTAATGTCCGATGTGTGAGTGCCGCCATCATGTGTCCCCGAGTCTCTCGCTTCGTTTGTGTTTATCTACTTACCTTACTCTGGCTGTGCACGCGTATATACGTACGTTCGTCCTTTGAAATTCGAAATACGAGCACGAAGGTGGAAAGGAATTCTTCCATTTCACGAATAAAGCGAATAAGAATCTCTTGAATTTCAAGGTCAATTTTTCTTTTTTTCTCGCATCGTACTCATCGCGAAGGTAAAGTAACTTTCCCAAGGAGTCGTAGATCGCTACCCGATCGTTTTCTTAAAAAGTTGGCGCGCGTGCTAACAGCGACTTTATGGTTCTAGACATGGGTAATTTCCGTTTAACATTTGCTTTATCATCAGCTGGATCATAGTGCGGGTTTAAATAACGTAGCAAAGTGATAAAGCTAGCTGTCAACGTTACACGAAACGGATATCCACGCGGAACAGGATCGTAAAGTCGCTGTTAGGACCCACTCTCTTGCCACTTTTTTTTTTTTTTAGGAAAAATTATCAGGTTGCGACCTGTGACTTGTTGGAAACGTTCTTCGTGACAATGGAAAAAACGAAAGAAAATCGTAGAACTCATCCGTGACAAACTTTCTTTCCCACCCTGTGTGCATGATGCAAATACGAACAACACGTCTCGTACGTATATGCGTAAACGTGCGAAGGAACCTAAACTTTTAACGATTAACTTTCGGATGGCAAACTTGTTGGAGGGGCGATTGTCCACTGGTGATCCTTGCTCTCGCAACTTCCTCTCTCTCTCTCTCTCTCTCTCTC